CATTATAATGCTTGTGAGGCTGTATATACACTGTCCACTAACTTAACCCCTTTGACTTTCCCCCCGAGAAACACCAGAGGGAATATATCTAAAAATACATTTGCTCTTAGGAACCGCTTTATCTTTTCACACCCTTTCTCTCCCTGTCTCCTCTGCCTTTTCTGCCCTATATGACTTAAAATGTGATGTCCTCTGTTCTATGGGAGTTGTGAGCAGAGAGGCACAAAATACACACATGCACATGCTTGCATGCACGTACACACAGACACACGCACAGATGTTGTGACATACAGTTCTCCAGCATAATATTTATTTTCATCCACAGTGAGAAAATATGGATCATTAACAATAAGTGAAGGCTGAGCACAGTATCCTATGCCATTTCTAGACATTCATTGAACTGCTATTGTGGGCAAATTCCCTTAATTCTGAACTGATGAAATTCCTGGAGAAGACAAAAATCTGAAACTGTGACCTCTTATAGTTTCAAGACCTCCTGCAGTCAGGTCCTATGGTGATGCATTTTATATTCTTTTCATATGATTTCTTTCCCAACAATCAAGTTTTTCCTTGCTCAGAAATGTTTGTACCTACTGTACTCTCTCTCTCCTTCTCTTTGGCTTCTTTCTTTCTTTGCATTGCAGGTAGCTAAAGTTCAGTTTAAAAGAGTAAAATAACAACAAATGGTGGTGCAATATATGCAAACAAGCTGGAGCAGATGAATTAAAATCATGTGCTGTTTATAACTTTAATTGGTACAGACAGATTCACCAAATTGTTACACTATTTCACAAAGTTGTTACAATATAACAACTTAAAGGTATGTCTTAAAAGTATAGGGCTATAAATACCTTCATTTTAACTTCTGCAACCTGAATAACTTGCTGTTGGAAAAATTATTTTCAAACTTGATACTAGTGCTGTTTTTTTGAGTCCGATTGTAGAACTGGTTCCAGTAGCTCATAAGAAACTAAGGTCTGTATTGGCCCAATTTATATAATAGCTATGTATCCACATTTCCCTGCTTCATCCAAAACCAGACAAAACCGTTTTTTAAGGACTCAACAAAATTGCATAGTATGTGCACACAAGAAGTTAGTTTGGGAGCTAAATGCAATTCCAAATATAGCCTATTGCGAAAGGGTGAAAAGGTCACTCTTGAAATATTTTCTAATCTGAAAGTTGATTTTCTTGGTGCTAGAAAGCCCTAGAAAAAGTTTATCTGCAGAAAATTTTGAGACTCTTTTTCATCTGCAGTTTATTTTGTCACTTCCTCTTAGCAGAGAAGAAAATTGTTCTAGTACATAAACCAACCTTCCGCAAACCTGGGAATCTATCTCTGCCATAGAGCTAAGTTAGCTTTGCTGTTTTGAAAAGATCTGTTAAGGTCATTTGTTATTTCTGATGGATAATATTCCTTCCTAACGGTAGCTTACTCTGAAGATAGTTCTGTTATCATCAGTCTGAGTGATATGAGCTTTTCCTGACTTTGAGGTACCTCGGAGCACATAGAAAATACCCATGTGCTGGGATGGTTGAAGGTGTGCTGTAACTCACCATGTTAATTTCTCATCATTGTGTACACTGGCCCACTGGGCAGCAGCAGTAGCTCTGTATAACACCTCGACTGGTGGTGCTTAACCACAGAAAAGCAGAAACATGCAAAGCCAGAAAAATGCCTAAGTCCTTCAGTACATCTCAGCTGGATTTTGACTTTCTGATATTGCAGTACAAATGCTGAAGCGTGATATTTATTTATTTATTTATTAAATATGGTTTTAGATCAGAAAGAATTTATGAAATATTTCTGTAGTCCAGAGTGAAACTCTGGAACCTTGTGTAAGATTAAAAATCTGGAACTGGTGAAACTCACAATGAATGGTGATTAAAATGTCACATATACTGACTTTAAAAATGAATAATCTAGCTGAAAACAAGTCTAAATATTTAAGTAACTTTCCAGTGAAGAAACACCTCTAGCTCGAGACCAAAAGAATGAAAAAAAAAAAAAAAAAACAAAACAAAAACAAAGAAACAAACAAAAAAAAACAATATCAGAAGTGGATAAGACAGGAACCACAAATAGAAAGTCTGAAATTTTCTAACCAAAAGAATGAAGACCAGGCTTTTACATAACATTTATTTTGATTTTTAGTTCCCTGCTGTAAGAGAAAAAAAAAAAAAAAAAAAAAAAAAAAAAGCTACGGAATTATTTTATTTTCCCTCCAAAATGGAATCCTGAACTTAATCAATTTCTGTGCTGCAGAATTTCTTTTCAGTTTCTTGAGCCTTTAAATCCTAGGAAGTTGGTTTGCACTCATTTATACCTGTATATATCTGAGATTTACTTTCCAAGAAATATATTGAAATATTATGCTTTTAAAAATATAAAAGCTTATTTTTCTCTCTTTGTATGTCTAATGGCCCTGAACCAGATGGAAATATGCGTAGCTGCAAAATATGATGTGATAACAGTATGCCAAGAGACGCGAGGATGGTATCAAATGCTGAGCATTTCTTTACAAAGCAGAGGCAAATGTGCCTTCCTTAAGTGCTGTCACCTCCTCTTTCTCTCCAGGAGGAGAGATGATGTGGCCATGGCAGGGGGCAGAGCGGGCAGTAGCAGCTGTGGCCAGAATGAGCAGAGAGATGGGGAAGTCTATTTTTATTGGAAGCAATGTTATTTTTTTTTTAGCATTACTGAAATGTTGACATGGTGTATCACCTTAAGATGTGTGTGTGCGGGGGTGAAGCTATGTGGGTGTGCCTTTTTCTTTTTTCCAGAGAAGTATTTCTCAGAGCGGGAGGTGCTCATCCCACGCGTACCAGGCTGAAAGCAAAGAAACTGAGTTCAGAAAGATGCTAAATAAAGCAAGTGGTTAAACAGAGGAGAAGGAGGATGAAAGAACAGTTCTTATGTAGGTGTCAAAATAAAAATGGGACAATTGCTTAAAACAAAAGCCTGAAAAACTTCAGTGTACTTAGAAAATTTAATTAGAAATATGTAGGCCTTATTCCCCACTGCTTGTGTGTTGCATAACAATTTAAGCTGTGCACAGCATGATAGTGTAGGGATGAAAGTGATTTACATCTTTTATCTGGAGTGCAAATGCCTGAATTTTGCTTCATACTGTCAAGTAAATTACACATGTAAAGCAAAAAATAAAAATATAAATAAATCTGTCAGAATGTCTGTGAAAATAATGGCAGAATGTATAGTGGCTGAGAATCTCAAAAATATTTATAATTTATTTTTACTGTTCCTACATAGTTGTCCTTATTAACATATTACTTATTATATGTAAATCCAGAAAATTATATAAATATATTAAGATTTGTATCCTAGAAATTCTTCACTGAAGTTGTAAGACAACCTTAGATTTGTAATTTATAGGTTGCGGAAAAAAATATATTGCAGTATTACATATTATTAGGAAACTGGGATATATTTTTAGGCAAATATAACACAGAGAGTTGACTAATAAATTAAAAGACAGAAGAGATTTTCATGATTGTAGTGGAAAATGTAGACTGGACAATTGTCAGAAGTCACAGGCTGCCACAGTGAAGCTTCCATCCTGTCAATATGAACAGAATCACTTATTCCTATTAAAGACAGTATACTTGCTCACATGAAATCCTGTTACTCTTTGCACCTAACTTAGGGTGTGAGCTAGGTTACCCTGTATCGATGATTTCTCTGGTACCTATGATTTTGACAGCTCTAGCACTACAAGCATTCAAAGCAATATGTTTTACAAACATTTTTTTTTTCTTTTAGATTTTCAATAAACATAACAAGCAGGATCTAGCTCAGTACTACAGTATTATGTTCTATCCAGACTGCTACTGCAACCATCCTATCCATATCTGGCTATATCTTCATTTTAAAACTTTTTTTTTTTTTTTTTTAACAGTATTTGGTGCATTTATTGAATGTCATTTTTTTTTTTTCTATGCAATTTCCTAAATTTTCCTTTGCTGCTTGCATTTGTTACCTTACATAGAGGAAAACACCTACTAGTGTAACACCTACTAGTACCTACTAGTGATATTTTTCGCTATAAAGACAGATAATGAAAATAGAACCTTATTGAACAGCTTAAAAGACTGCTTTTACAGTGTAGGAAAAACAGTCAGATTATTAATCTTTTTTACCAGTGAAGTCTTCAAAAAGATGATGGTGCTAGTCCTAACTTATGAGGTATATGTATTATGAGGATGCCTTTAGAAACCAGTTGGCTCTTTAATGCTTTGAATATTAGAAACACTGACAAGCTTTTTACTGAAGATATTTTTTGTTATTTACCTGATTTTAAAATGGTGAATGCTATTACTTCAAGCAATAACTCAAAGCAGAGAAATTTCAGTCAAAATTATTTGAGATAAGAATATATCTATGGGTGAAGTCTTGAATTTATTTGTAAGTCTCCTTTATTACTATAGCCTGGCTATTGCACATGTTTTTCCATAATATGTGGGTGGTTAAGAATATTTTTTATTAAAGTGGCAAGATTTGAGAATTAGAGTTCATAGGCTGGAATGTCCTGTAACATTACTGATACATATTCTGAGGGTCACATCAAACTACTTTCTTTTTATAATCGACGTGAAAGCAGAACAAGACTATCAGAAATTTTATTAGACTGGCCTCATAATTTATGCTGTAGAATATTTGCTGAAACTGTTAATAAAACATAAATATATTCAAACATTGTAGAAATAGGCTTCTTGCAATGTCAATAAAGCCTCACAATTCTATACACACTGTTAGGTCTAGGTAAGCACAAAAATAAACTCATAAAGAGGTATAAATGTAATTTTTCAGTATTTCAAATGATTTGAGTATCTTTCTGGTCTAAGTCTATTTCATTAACATTTTTGCCATGCAGGAAATGTTAATACAGAACTTCCATTTATTAATTAATTGCAGTTTTTCTTTCTTTCTCTCTCTCTCTCTCTCTCTCTCTTTTTTTATTTTTTTTTTAAATGTTTTTCAGCTGATGCTTTTGAAATATCTGAGAAACAAAATAATCCCGTGTTTACCAAGCCAGGAGAAAATGTCACTTTTATTTGTCCTTATAACAGAAGAGATTCAGTTCAACAAGTGATGTGGGAAAGGATTAAAGCAGATTGCATAGATACCATTGTCCAGTGTAATTCATTAGGAGGGCAACGCTTTGGTGCAGATTTTAAAAAGCGTGCACTGGTGGATTGCTCTGATCAAGCAAGCTCCATGATTGTCATTCAAAATGTTTCAGACTCTGACTTCGCAACATATCGCTGTGTGGCTACTGGAAGAAACAAAACCTATGTGATGAGTTTCACCATGCTTGGTAAGTAAAGAAGGTAGTAGTAAATGTTTCCACAGGCAGGACCTTCTGAGGTATTAACACATTTACCCATATGAAATCACACTTCATAACACATTCAAATGAGCAGTGGAAAAGTTAACAACCAATCTTGTTTCCACAGAAGAAAGATGGTTTTCAGGTTGTCTGATCTCGTTATAGGACTTCACACCTGCTTGTGAGAAACTGGTTTGATGCTAGGAAGCAGACTCTTCAGCAAGGGGTGCTCTCCTGGAGATGTCCTCATTAGCACAGGGCACTGCGTGGTACATATCTGTGTCCCAGGGGAAAGACAAGTCTTCCTACAAGAGCTAAGAGCACACTCTTGTCCAAAAATGGAAAAAAATGTAAAATGGCTTCTGCCTTATTCATGTGAGGAATTTCTTTTGGGGAGCAGAATATGTCTCCAGGTTTTTCTGTGAATATTGTCATAGTTTGATTATAAGGAAGCTTAGGTCTCCGTATGTAAACACATAAAATTGGATTGCTCAAAATGAGAGCTGAATCCCTTTTAGTTCTACTTTTATTTATTTATTTATTATGGCTGGAGAAAATGACAACAACAGCAACAACAACAATAGAAAAGGCTCAGTTTTAGTTCTCTGTAGAATGGATTTTGAAAACATGGTTCTTGTACCACCACATTTCCTCTTCCGTTGTAGCATTCAGGCGAGCTCTCTGGTGTCTTTGATACTGCCTTTGTTAGTCGTAATAAATGAATGTTAGCAGACATCCCCTTGGCAGCACTAAGAGCTGTGGCTTGAGATATAAAACTTCCGAATATGCTTGATTGTTACTGAGAATGCACTCAGAAAGAAAATGTTGATCTGTTTTACTCTGAATACTTGACCACAAAAGTCCATGAAATTCGACAAAATATGATAAGAATTATCAGGTGTATAATTCCTCTCACCTCCAAAAATTTTAAACATTCAAATTTCAAAATATTGATGACTGCATTCATATAATTAATCACATACAAACTCTAGAGCAATGAAAATGTTTACTCTGAACATAGTGCTTCTCATAACAAAACTAAACCAAACAATGAGTTGCCAGGTGATAATAATAAAAAAATGTCCTACCTATGCAAATTCTTTCTACTAAAAAAACAAACCAAACCCAACCCAATGAAAAAGCTTCAGTTTACGTGATTCTTTTGATCTTGAAGCAAACCCTATTTATCACTGTTGATTTTAACAATAACAACATAGTTATGCATGTTTGTAGGAGAAAAAAATGGTGTGAAACCATTGAAGAAGCTGAAGTATATGAAGTATAACATGATTCAAAATATACATTTTCTACCTTTTAAATCCTCTGCATTATCACACGTTTTTATTTATTTATTTGTTGCTTGTTATTCCAAAAGAAATGAGGTGTCAAAGATTCCCAATTATTTTTTTCGGTCTTTAAACATTTGGAACTGTTCCATACATGACTAATACTTCCATGACAGTTATGGAGAAAACGTAAAGATAAGGAGAGACAGGTCAGGTATCAGCTCCCATAGATCCTGTGAAGCCTCTCACAAACTCAGTTGCTTACTCTGCCTCGATGTGGCTTGAATGAAAGAACGGTAGCAGAAACTTGATGCGTACGTTTATATTTGATGTGTATGTGTATATTTTTGTGTATGTTCTACCAATCCAGCCACTTCATTTTCTTTGGCTTAGCATTACAGTTAAGCCTCACTGTAGCTTCATACTAAGTTAATACAAATTCATACAATTAACCATCTTTTTGGATTCACCTATTCTGCAAGAACAAAAAAACAAAAAAAAAACAACAACAAAAAAAAAAACAACAAACAAACAAAAAGGAATTACATGGCTGAGCTCCATGCAGAATTTAGATAACTGCCTATAAGATCCAGTTATTCCTCAGGAATATGGAAACTGACTAATAGTAAATCTGTCCTTTGAAATTGTCATTTTTCTTCCTAAGTCACACATGCAACTTATGTCTAAAATGGGTGATAGAGAGCTGTTTGGGTCTCAGAGCACTGACCCACTGAGACAGGGCACATAAATTGCCTCCAGTATTATTTTGGCTGTAATGGAACCTTTCCATTTCCGGATACTTTCAGTTTTAGAGAACAGGAACCAAATAATCAGAAAGATAATAGAACAGAGTAAGACTAATCCAACATTGAGACAAAAGTGTCAGATGAGATGAAAAACAGGGGAGTCCTTGACCAATCACAGCTGTGCCATGGAAAACAGACACAAAATAAGGCTAAAGTAAGGTGTGAGGAGAATCAAGGTAGGAGTGAAATTAGCTTCTTTCTTCCTTCCTGAATTTTTCCTGTATTAACGCAAGATATAAATCTGTGCCTGTGGGTCTCTCAGTGAAGCCCTTTTCTCCAAGCATGAACGCCTTTCACTTGTGGGCAAAATTATCTCAGTGATGTTTAGTTAGCATGGCTTACATGCCAGACCAGCAAGGAATGTGACAAGCTACATGAAGATCTCCAGTGCAGTTCAAATCTCTTGTTGGTACAAGTAACTGTGTCTGCCCTGTCAATGCTTCCTCCTCAAAACCAAAGTCAGGGCATTGAAGGTTGAAAACCTTCACTCAGAAAGGTTTCAGCCCTGGAGAGCAAATGCCAAGGCTACAAAACTAGGTGTGGCAGCTGGGGGTGGGATATTGTTCTAATACTTAATAGAAATTGTACTCCTTTCAGCATATCACCTTTGATGAGAACATGAGAACTAAAGAGACACATAAAAAGCATCTGGCATATTTCTGCAAAATCTTGAATGTTATGTTAAAGAAAGTAATTACAACAGGTTTTGTACAGTTAAACAAACAAAAAATGAAACAAAATAAAACAAAACAAGCCTCAGGAAAGCTTTACGCACTTCAGATGAGAAAAGGCAAAAGGACTTTGAATTTTTATTACTTCTAAAAAAATTTAATGATTTTTCTCATCCAAATTTAACTGATAGCTGATAATCCCAGCTCTCAAACTCATTCACTCAGAGATCATTATCTTGACCTGATTAAACTGAAGGTGAAATGTCATGAAAAGAAAAATAAGGTCTGGAATGCTTAGACAGCTGGATGGGATGTTGCTGAAGTCCAGAACTATTTAAATTCACCCACCCTAGATGATAATTAAATACAGAATTTTTAACAAAATAGCTAAACTTTTAAAATTTCTGTGTTACTTAGAGAGGGTTTTCTCCCTGTTTCTGTAAATAGTCACTGGCACAGGTGAAGGTTTTCTGTGGTGGGTAGCCAAACATTTAGAAAAAATGCATAATATATTTTTTTCAAAGTTGGACACATCCACATGCACTAGCCTGTCATTTCAAGGGTGTAGCAACTGAACACATGTTGGGAGTAAAGTGACTTTATGTGTAACCACATTATACAACATACAACAATACAAAAACACAATACAAAAGATCAGTTTGTTACCAGTCAGCCTTCCGTACTGTGTGAAATACCTTCAGCATGTAATTTCTAAGATAATTTTCTTTCTTTTATTATTAGGATAAGACTTTTCTGTAATCAGTGTTTTTTTGTTTTATTCCTACATGTTGAGAAACTGAAGAATATACAGGAAATATTTATTTTTCTGTAGGTAACTGAACAGAGTCACTTTTGATGCTTACTTCATCAAGACCCTATCACATAGGGTCATTTGAGATTGCTAGAAGTTGGCAAGACCATCTGGCTAAGATTTGTGCTGTAGAAGCTGCTACTGCTAGCCACAAATCCACTACATACTGTAGTGCTTATTACATGCTATTTGTGATTGTTTGCTTTCTGTGCTATTACTCTCAAGTCTGAAGACATCTAGTGTAGAGATGCTGCAGAAAGGAAGGAAGTTGTGCACTGTGGTAGGCTGCAAAAAGCTGTTGAAGTTCTGTGGTTAAACTTTTTTTTTTTTTCATACTGCTGTGCTGTGTTCATTCACCTTTGGTCATTCCAGTCACAACTTCTGTAAGAGTTAGCTCAGCATAACAATGGCATTTTAGAAATGATGAAATGCTTGTGAATTCTGAATATTGATCTTGAGATCCCATGTGTCTACATAATTGTTGATTTTCAACATAATCTGTTATGGCAACTTCATAATGATTTATAAAAATACTAATAATATTTATTACAATTCTATTTTAGCAACTTGGAATCACAAACGGTTTATTATCTACATAGCTGCAGGAATATCAGCTGCTGTTTTACTGTTAGTTTTCCTATGGATTATCTGCATCGCCACTGCTTATGACAAAAAGTGAGTAACAAATCAATTTGCTTGATACAGTGGCATGAATATATGAAGGTGTTAACAGCTCATCTTCTATCCTCTTCAGAGGATATTGAAAAAAAAAAAAAAAAAAAAGCTAGTTTTGAAAATTTGAAAAAAAAACAACTAATCAATTCATCAACCTATGAAAGAGGTGACATTTTCATTTATTTTTTTTTCACACTAAAAAATAATAAAAAACAACATTAAACAAAACAAAACAAAAAAACAAAGCTACAGCTTACTGAAGTTCCTTAGTCAGCTAAATGCTTACATTGATACTAATTGAAACATCATGCCGAAGGTGATTTGTCAAGAATAACAGGCTTAGGCATAGGCTGTTCATTTTTTATGCATAAACAACATATGACATCTTGATGTTTCTACATCTTCTAGCATTTTATATCTACTCTCTACCAAATATATCGTAGTTGTCTGATCCAGAATCTCTGCTTCCAATGGAAAGAAATACTGAGCAGAAAAAAAATACATATATTTCTTCTCCCATTACAATATATAAAGTTTCTGGAATTTGTTGGCAAGTTATTACTGAATAAGAACGTCTTTTTATCAGTGTCCAGGCCTTTACAAAACAGTGCTAGTCTCATGCATGTTGTGGTCTGCAGTTCAGAGAAAAGGCTACTTGGATTTTATTGGTTTCGGTGGACAAGTAAGCTATACCACTGTTATCTCTTGTATGTAATTAGATAGTTTGGTCTATACTATCATTCATGGTGCAGTTTGTTTCCATTATGTTTCTAATGGAATGTGTGCCATCAGAAAGAAGAGAAAGAGAATAAAAGAGGCCTTACTAAACCCTTTGTACTCTACTCAGACCAAGGTAAGATCATCTGAAGTTTACTCATAATGTATTTTGTATATTTCTTAACATCTCTTCAGTATCTGATGCTTGACATAACTTTTAAATAAGGGATATATCCCTTAATTATCTTTTTTATTTTTTAAATGCTTAATGCATTTTTTTAAATGCATCTAATTATATTGAGATGTGTTTCATGTAGCTCTTTTGGTTTTGCTATCTTTTATACTATTTGTGTATTGGCAGTATCTTTTTTTTTTTTTTTTTTCCCCTCAAGTAACTACTTGTAAAATGCAAGCAAAAAATTGAATCCTGTCATAGCACTTGTCTTTACTTATTCAACTTCATTGTAATTTGTTGGGACAACTGTTTGAGTGTTTCTCCTTTCTTTTTCTACTTTAACAATCAATTTCTTGAAGCTCAGTTACTCTTTTCCTCTTAGTGATCTTATTCAAGGCCTGAAATTTACAAGTGGTAAGGCAGGATCCAATTCTTCTGCTTCTGCCTTGTATCTTCATACCCTCAGTCATGGTATGAGGTAGTAATATTCTTAGGGAAATGGCCCTTTCCTCACAGTGGTGTGACACTAGCTTTCCATCTATTTCCCTCAGACAGCACTGCTGTATGACTGCATACAGGTCCACTGTAGATAGGGACTCACAAGGCCCTTTGACCTCCTAACATTTCAATTTATCTCATTCTGCCCCTTTGGTTACTGTTCACATCAGAATGAAGCTCTTCCTAGGGTAACCTTAGCTTAGGGACTACTAATTTTCTTCAGAAAGCATCTTCCGAAACAATGACAATTAATCAAGGCACCATCACATTAATTACATGAGTAATTCTTAGCATGGTCCATACCTGTAGAGAATTTATGTTTTAAGACTGACAAAGGTAACTATTTCAGTACGTGAAGTGTGTACATGAAAAGGAGGCATTCTGTTGATACTGATACTTTACCAGGCATCTGATGTGGAATAGCCGTGAAATTTCCTTGAATTAAAATTTATCTCTAGGAAACAAGAGACCCCCCCCACCAAAAAAAAAAAAAAAAAAAAAAGAGAGAGATATTGATGGCTGAATATTTTCCAATAATAAATCAGTGTAAAATAAATGTGTCATTTTTTTTTCAGTCATATCTTTTCATATCTTTTTCAGAAAATTTCTTCTACTTTTTTTTTTTCTTTTTTCTGTTCTTCTAGAGCATTAATGGTTACGAAAGATGTAATTTTTGTTCCCCATAGAACATAGAAAGAAGAGAAGAAGAATCATTACCCAATCAGACAGAGGAGATTTACATCAACTGCATAAACCCGAGGAAAGACCATTAGCTTACTTCTTATGGATGAAATAACCAAATTCAGTCAACAAATTTGCATGTTGGATTTGCTTTGCTTTGCTCTGGTGGGCTGCAGAAAATTCAAGTCACCATAGCAGGCTGCCCTGGCTGGACAGCATTGGTCCCTGAGCCAGCCTGGATGCGTCTGTGTAATATGACAGTCTGCAGCATCAATGTATCTTTTGATTCATAAGTACAAGTGAAGATTTTTTGTATTTCTAAAATTTATTATTATTATTTTTTTACCCAGTAAGTGTACTTATAATAATTTTAGAACAACTATAACATACAGAACAGAGGTGCATATGTTTATATAACATTAATTTTGTCTGAGAAATAAATGTCTGAGAAGTCTGTGTGAAAAGGTGAAAATGAAAATATGCTCTATGTTCTCTGTATCCATGACTTTCAAATATCAAATTGAGAGCTTTATGGAATAATAAATATCCATTATTTTCTGCAAAGGATGTGTTATTACACTGCTGGGCAAACAGTACTATTCAGCTGGCAAAAGCAAATATATTAGGGATCCTTGAACCTAGATTTAAAAGTATGAACAGAAGCGTTCTATCTGACAGTTGTGTGGTTTTAAAGGCTTCTTGCACGCAGCACAATTATTTCAGCACTCACTAGTTGGGGATGGAATAGAAATATAGCCCCTAGTCCACACGCACACCCATGCGCATGCATGTGCACACACACACCTTTTTTTTTTTTTTCCCTCTCTTTAATGCCCAGAAGAAAGCAAAACATCAAGACTCTGTCACTGTCAAGTTATAATTCATAATAATTTATTATAAGGTTTAGTTGCACAAAAAATAAATGAGATTATGGAAGATACATGAATAAATGATGCAAAGCAGAAAAGGCATGATTGGGAACATTTACAAAACAATACATGTGTGGTTTTATATGCGCATATGTATATATTCTGCTGAAACCTACAGAATAAACCACACAGAAATTGAACAGACAAACAAACAAACAAAAACTCCTCAAACAAACAGCACTAGAAGGCAGACCTGAGAATTAAGATCTATGCATCTTATGGCGTTTTACAAACCTGCTGTATTACTGAGGATGGAATCCCAATAGATGAAGGTGTTACCATGACGGCTGATAATCAGATGTGTCTGTGTTCTACAAACTGTATGCCTCCTGGCCCACCTGTCTGATCCCCCTTTTCTCTTGTAGCATTGGTAAAAGTGATTTGTTATTTTATTTGTTATTTTATTATTATTATTATTATTATTATTTTCTGAAAGGGGTTGGGGGAAGGCATTATTAGTCTGCTACAAACCAGTTCTACTTGGTTGGCTAAGAAGGAGCATCAACAGCCTGACAGTGACAAGCACATTTGTGTAACTCTCTGCAAATCAAAGCTTTCCTCACACACAAAGGAAAATACAAGTCTAGGTTCTTTGGACAATAATGAGGACACAAGGCTTGTCTGAACTATTTGAGTGATAATAGTGTTGTACAGTTATACTACGCTTCAGCTAAAAATCTAAAAACTTAAACCAAAGAGTCCTTCAACCTGGCATTGAAGACTTAAATTCTTTTACATGTCATTACAATACCATTAGAAAACATGTCATTTTGGTTTTGCGTACTCCTGAACAAGAACACATACACATTACAAGGTATATATTTTTGCTTTCACTTATTGAAGGTTTTCAGATATATAAACGTTTGCATGTGAAGTTGATGAGGACACAGAACTGTACTATTAATAAGTTGATTTATTTCCTGAGTTATCATATGTCATATCAGATAATTCTAAGTTGTGCACAGCATTACAAGAAAAACCCTGTAGCATTGGGTTGTTTGTTTGATGATTCCATTTATACTAAAATGCCAAAATGATGATGTAATGAATTTGATTACATTGAAGATCTCAGTTGGAATCCTAATACAGAATTATACATAAGCCAAGAAGTTGGCATTGTTTCACTGCTTGTAGAGACATTCAAAATACATCCCTATTTTACTGAGGATAAAAAAAGGGGAGAGGTGGAGGTTAAGTATCTATAATACCAGATTGCTTTGATTATTTCTGTTACTGTCCTTATTTCTTGCCTCCCCTGATGCTTTTAGCTTGTCTGCATGCATTTTTTAAAAATAACTAGTTTTGAGATTTGAGAAAGAAAAAAAAATCTCTACTTCACATCTTTGTAGGTATTTAATCTGGTTTAATTCAAATTCCATAGACATATTACTTTTACCAAGATAGTCCACAGGGAAAATCACATCAATCACACATAGCATATAAACAATACATTATTTTTCTTTCAAAAAACAAACCCAAAACAACAGCTTCATTTTTGTACCATTGTAATATCAGTGAACAGCAGCTGAACATGAGACCGATACAAACAAAAACCAAAAAGAAAGAAATCAACTCAAACCTCTTCAATAGTTTAGTAAACTATGCAACAAAAAAAAAAAAAATAAATCCAAGTGTCATTTGAAATGTGATATTAAAGCTCCTTATATATTTTATGAGTCTGACAGAATGGGACCTAGCAAAAGCATGTTTGCTGTGACACAGTTCGGATTATGTAAATTGGCTTTCCAGTGTAAAATAATAAAAACTATTGTTTACTTGTGTTTCTTTTCAGGATTTTCCATAGATTTCCCATTTTCTTTTGAAAAATTTTAGTTCCTTTTGTGTAAACTTAATCAACTGTAATTTGGAAATTTTATTTTGAATGGTTACCGTGCTATTTCATTCTTTACTGCTTGCTCAACAAGTTAAAAGGGAGAAAAAATCAAATATAACACAACACAAATATGGACAACAACAAGGTCAGAATACTGTTTGAACTGTAAGATAGTGTTGTCTTTTTTGTTGTTTTAAAGCCTTAGAAACTTTCCTCAAAGGCAACAAACATATTAAAGTATGTTTTCATTTTCATTAATTCAGTCTTGAATCACTGGATAACTAATTTCTGTGTAACAGGAAAATGAACCTATGAAATTTTAAGAAAAGGAAAACAAGTCTTCTCCTCCCTAATAATAAAAATGTATGTTTTATGTTCATGTTTTATGCTGTGTAAAAAAGGTAGCTATTTAAGCCCATGTTAAAATTCTGTTTTCGTTACTTTTAGTACCATTTAGATTAATAGTAATACTAAGTTTTAGAAGAGCTTAAACTTGTATCAGAGAAAAAAATATTTGAAATCTGTCCTTGCTGGGATTTCTGAATGTAGGAGGCATAGTCACCAGAATCTGGATCACAAGGGAGAACACCAAACCCACTGTCTATGAAAGAAGGTGAAAGCTGGAACAGCAACACACTGCATGCTACCTCCTGATACTGTATCTTTCTTTTGTCTCAAATATGTCCCTATAATTTAAGGAGTGTCTCTGACCCTGTAATATGTTCATGACACTGCCTAGTCTGCTTATCTTTTCATCTTCCTTGAATGTGTATCTTAGGGTAAAACAGTGTTCCTGTGAGGAAACAGTCTGCTTCAAGGACTCGACTCACCAAGGAATAGAAGAACCTGGACTTTTCCAAACTCCCACTTTACGCAGGGTGGTCCAACACTTAACTCTTTCTGATGCAACCTGTCCAAAATTCCCAGGTATTTTCCCATGGAATTTTACATTTCTATATTTTCTATCAGGCACCTAAAGTTTTATAATCTCCCTCAGAAACAACTAGTTTTAATTATGATGCACAACCAAACCATCTGCCTGCTATACAGGTTTAATTTTGATCATAAGTAGATGGTAGTTTACTCTTGAAAAATTCAAATAAGAAACCTGACAAAAAGAAGAACAAACAAACAAAGAAACAGAGGACTGATCTTTTTTTTTTTTTTTTTTTTTTTTTTTTCCCCTGGGTGTTGTAACTATCTGGGACTCAAGGATGTTCCTCTAAAGCTTCTGTGATATTGAGCTATGTAAAAGTTCAAATCCATGGCATTTATTTACACCTGCTGACACTGACTCAGAGAATATTCCCCGGCACAAGCAGAAGACTTATTTCCTTTAAAGCCTAAATGTTCAGTAGAAGTTAATCCCCTAAACAGATTTGTAAGTCTGACATTAAGGGTTAGTTCCAAATACTGCCTACAAGATAGGTGCTAAAAAAAAAATCTTTTAGACTGTAGACCCCAGGAGTAGAAACTATACATCAAGTTCTCTGACTGCATTATTTAAAGTGGAGTAAGACAACTCAAAAGACATTTCAAATATTCACACATTCCTGTGGAACTGTCTTGGGCTAGATGCATCTCTATTGGTATGCCATGTGTCATCCTACTGCATGTGGGGTCAGGGTAGCCACTGTCCCTTTGACATGCAATATGAAGGATCCCAGCTTGAGGCTAGAGTGTCACAGTGGTGTTCAAAACACTATGCTGGACTAGGCTTTTCAGTGGCCTATGAAATCCTGTCTGTTTCTTCTACCACAGTTGTTTCATGCTGTTTTCTACCTACCAAATCAGTCAGGAAACGGAAGACCCTGGCTCAATTCCTGCAGACAACTTCAGATACTCCCCATTTTCCTTGTGCCCTTTCCACCCTTCCCTTTGCAGCTGGGCTCCTTCCTGTACAGAAACAGCTCAGGTTTTAAGGGCTAAGAAGAGCTAGGAGTGGGCCTGCAGGGCTTAGTAGGGCACTCTTCCAGCAAGAGTATCCTCCTTTCTGCTTTGTCTTGTAACACCTTGTTTTACTCTTTTCTAATCCCTGTTTACGTCCAAATGCATACAGAGTGATGAGAACCGGGTGAGCATCTGGGTGACTATGGGACAAATATATAATAAGCTTCTCATAACATAATGGTCAAGCTAGAAAATACAAAAGGAAATAACAAGTTATTCAAGGCAACTTTCTAAAGAATGTTATTTACTACCTCCATTTATCCACATTGCTAGCCAGTAGAATTAGATAAAATAACTAATATAAATTACTAGTATTAGCTGATCTATTTCTTCTTACCTTATGCTTTTTCAAAAAGATAACTTTCTAGTTTTAGAAAAAAAGTCTCAGTGATTCTGAAGGAAATTTAACACCTTTTTTAACAGTTTATTTAATTAGACTGTTAAAGTAAATAAATCATTTGTAATATTAAGCAGTATGTTTTATAACATGATTTAAATGATCAATAGCTTATCATACTAAGATATAGACAAAAAATGCATAGCAACTTTTCCTTTTTCTTTTGCAATATCTTTTTTCCATTTGTGTTGATGCCTATCTGTGTATTTGAAGAGGGAAAATATGTTTTCATTACACATAATTACAAATACTCTCTATTAACATCACATATTTATCAGAAATAAAACTGTCTGAAGCAGACATTTATTAACTAATTTTAAATTTCCATAATTTACATAACAACTGTAGTAAAGGTGGATCTTTCTCATGCAGCTTTGTCAGATTACATCATAACTGGAAGCATAAGTGTAAGCACCCATGTATGTATTTTTATGAATCATAAATGCAAATGTTG